CAGACTCTCGATTGCAGGAAGATCCAATTCCATTGGAATGGATCCCCCTACTTGGCTACTGGTACCCTCGTCCGCAGACCCCCTCTCGACTTCCTTGAGGCCTTCCAAAGCCTCGGTAGCAGAATCCGGAGGTGGGGAAGCCTCGACCAGGTGTCCGTGTTCGCCGATGTGCGCAGTTGACTCTCCGGAATGGATGCTGCAAAGCAGCTCGATCCATTCACCGGGGGTACGATTGTCGAAATCCAGCCCACTCAAGTTGAATGGACTGGGCCAACGGAATAAAGTGGCCAAGAGGGTCCACTCATTCAAATTGATTGCCCGACGATTGGGCTCGGCAGCCTTGAGTGCCTCCAACACAACGACGGGGTCCTCTCCTGCATTCTGCAAGTCCAAGATGGACCGCAAGAAGAGTTCCCGCGTAGTGTCAAAAAGGGACCCAATCTGCTTTAATTGGTCGTTCAGGTCGGTGGCTCGTCGTAATGAGTTTGCTAGATCTAAATAGAATCAAACGAATTAAATTAAATGAATAAAATCAAATAGAATACAGCAAACTTACTATGCGTACTGCTAGTCGAAGCCTTATGGAGCGCATTGAGCGCGTCCATAGCCAGCTCCACATCCAAGGACCCCAAGCACTTCAAACTCCGTGAGGAGCAAGCTTGACATTTGTACCCGGGTAGTGGAGCCGAATTTGCTTCCAAATCCCCTCGAGCAAGCGCCGAAACGCAAGCTTGACTGGGAATGGAAGGCTACATAAATAAAGCCATATTAGCAACTAAATTAAAATAAGAAATTGGAAAACAACTTACGTCGCGAATTACCCGGTTAACTTGCATCAAGTCCTGCATCGTGAAACGAGCGTTTTGAGTCTCCAAAATGGAGCCCAGCTCGACGAAGTCAGGATTGATTGTAAGGAGAGGGTTTTCTCGAGTTAAGGCAGCGCTATTCTATTAAATTAATAGAGTTAGCATTTGGAATGAATTAAATTGAATAACAACGACTTACCCTGGCATGAGCAAATTTGGGAAAGGGTGTGAAGGCACCAGTCGACTGCTCTGGAAGTCGTAAGCGTCCTTGAGCATCCGCCAAGAGTACCGGTTGAAAGGTACTCTCTGAGGAACGCTCAGGAGCGGACTTTGTGACAGCCTTGGATACTCGTTTGGGAACGGTTACCCGTTTAATTGAACGACGAGGCAGTGAAGCTACAATCCAATTAAATTAATAAAATAAAACGAAAAATGAAGAATAAAAACTTACCAGATATGGAAGATGTCGTTTTAAGGCGTTTTGGAGGGGGCGCAGAGTCCTCCTCCTCATCCTCATCTTCGGATTCAACTTCACTGGAAGCCGAATCCTCCTCAGTAACAATGGTTTGCCGCGCTTTTCCTTTAGAAGCGGCCGGAGCAATTTTCCTCGAATGAGGGGGAAGTCGAACTCTCTTGTAGACCAAAGCAGAAGTAGGAGGGTCGGAGGCTTTAGAATCTTCAACTACCTTGACGGTAGTTTTGGATTTAGGCTCCTTCCTGCTCACGGGAACCTTGGTAGGCGAAGAAGCTCGAGGAGCGGCGTCTACTAAAGGGAAGCCGCTCAAAAGCTCGTTATCCGAGTCTCTTGAACGAGTGGAACGCGGAGAGACAACTGAATCAAAAACAAAAGAATGGATAAATAAAAACAAAAATCTACGAATTAAGATTATAACTCACAGAACGAAGAAGCATCGGCCTTGAGGTTCTCTAACTCCCGATTCCTTCTGATTAAGCGAGGGGGAGCTACAGGTGCCTTAGAAACGGAGGTCGAAGACTTGATCTCCAAAGGAGGTGCAAGAGGATTAAGCTTAGAAGCGCCCGCCAAAGACCCTTTACCGCGTAACGAGGCAAAGGCATCTAGATCTTTAGAAGGAACTGAACGCATCATTGCGCTTCCCTCACGAAAGCGTAGACAAAATGGAATCGGAATGGCGGGGAATCGTTCGAATTTGTGAACACCCTGTAAATTAAATTAAATGAGATTAAAAGAGGATTCAATAGAAACGAACACTTACTGCAGTTGAAGAGCGATGTTCAAGGGGAATGCCCCATTGCTGCGTCAAATCGTCGCGAAGAAAAGCGGGTAGGATGAGAGAAAGGGATTCTGCCAACGATAGAACTTGTTCCGCGAATAAAGGGCAATTAGCCCGACCGATCCAGAAGTCCCGAATATAAACCTAGTGAAAACTATTAATATAAACGATGTAGGAAGGGTTTTCAGTTACGCACCAAAAATGGTGCAGCCTCCTCGGAAACATCATAAACTTCCGGTGACTCTGGAGAAGGACAATCGTCCATCAAGGCTTGTAATGTTCTAACTGCCATTTGAGCAGAACAAAACAGGTCCAAGCCTGATGCTACTGACAAAGGACGCAAAGTCTTGGGAGGAAAGCAGTATGGAAGTAAAGGGCGAGGATATGAGAATGCCGGAAAGGAACCAGATCCATCATAATCCGGGGAATGTTGAGAATCAAGTAAAGGAGGAGAATAATCTCCTGCCTGAAGGCGTTGGAAAACTGCGCTTTCGAAAAACAAAGGAAGTGTTGATTTAGATTGAATACCCGCAAGTATCACCTGGGCCTCCATTAGAGAGCTTGGGAGAAGAGTGACTGCGGCTGAAGATCGAGTTTGACTCGAGGATGAAGCCATTTTGAATTGATATGAAGGAGATGAAAGAAAGGAATAAAGAGGGAAAACGGACTTCAACGAAAAATTTTATTGAACCCCGTGCCCCGAACCAAATAAAGGTACACACTGAATCAGTGTGTACGTCAGAGCAGTTCTCCGTGAAATGGAAGCTCGTTCTGTGACGAGATGATAAAAAGATTGTGAATTAAAAATTCGAAATGTGATAGGAATACCGAAAAAGTATTCAATCCAAATTGAGCGCTAAACTGTTACGATTCGTAGCAGGCGTGTGAATAAATTGATAAGATGAGCGCTAGAAACCCATTTGAGGGCATCCAAATTGATTGGAGAGCATGGAGAAGTAGAGATCCAAACCCAGTGAATTACATTAAGAGGAGATATAGTCTTGTCGAATCAATCTAATAACAGATTGGGTATCCTTTCCCTATACAAAACTACGAATGACCGAGGACGGTCAAATTCTTTAGTTTGGGGGGGATGACACGCCTAAATTTTGGCTAGATGTCTATGCTGTGAATTGTGACATTTTCACGTATAGATTTGTATCAAGAGGACTGTAATTGAGACCCAGATTGACAGTCAAAGTCGATACTGAATCAGTCTAATAAGTTGAAGGGACCATATACCCATACTACCACAAGTTGGTCAGTTTACCCATCCCTGATACTACCTACGGATAGCAGTCTACCTGTTCGTCAAGCAGGATTATACCAGACTCGGACTACATCCAAAGGATGACCATTCACGTATGACATACCAAGGGTATTCTTATTGGACCGTACACTGGCAGGAGTTTGGAAGAACTTACTCAAGTGACCATGAACCGAGGATTGACTCGAAATGACTTTCTAGAACTCAGGAATTATCAAATACTCCTTCTAGAACGAGATCATGCATTAATCTAAAAGACTGCGATTTAGTCTAATAGACCAATCAAGTTGCATGGTTGAGTAAAATGACTAGAAGAACGATTGAAAGACTGCGAGGCTCTGAAGACATATCAAATGAATGTCAAAGAGTCCTGACGTAGAAAATATTGAAGAATGCAATTAAATGAATACTATGCGTAACTCCCTTGATAGAGTATAGGCACAATGGGTGTCTGTTGAAAGAGAGAAGCAATTAGTTTAATCCAGATGAATCAGATTGATAGGATTAGAATCGAGGAGAGCTGATTTGCCTCCGGACGAGGTGACAAACGATCGAAGTAAGTGTTGAACAGCAATGACAGTTGAACACCATTCGAGTCATCCTCCAAAAACAATTAAATTAAATGAATATTGAAGTACCTACCTATGTTTGGAGGTATACTAGAATCTTGGAACCAATATGGACCCAATAAGGACATGTAGATTCAAATTAAATGGTATCTGACTGAGTGTAGAAGTTTCCTTGCGGTTCCGAACGTTTATTGTATTAAATTAATTGTACTATGCGACTCTATATTCTGTATATATAAATAGCGATCCGATGTATCTGGAATACAAGTGATTTTGGGACGACGTTGCAGTGCTAATCCGTAAAAAGGAAAGACACACTCCCGCCAGACTGAAACCTCTTCGCTAGCAGCCATTCGGGCCTGGCACTTGTGAGTATAGGAACGTTGTGTTCTGCTCCTTGTGACTGCGAGAAGTATATCCAGTTGTTGGGTATTCTTTGAACTTAGGATCAGTCGTTGGTCTTAAGGGCAAATCACGCTGTGTGGTTGTGCCAACACATAGTTCTAGCCCTCCGTAGGGGTCTGTGTGTTTCGGTTTTAATTTACTTTGATTCAAACCCCCAATTCTTGATATACCCAGATCAATACAAACTAAAGCACAAATCGTGCTGAATCTACCTTGATCAAAGGAATATATCGAATCCTTAGAACGATTCAAATTGATTGATCAAAGCTTTGTACTTAGCTCTCAAAGCTTTGCGGAACCTTTGCCAACACTACCCCTTGCTATTAAATAAATTTGATAGCAGTGAACTCGCATATTGTGTATTAGATTGGTTGGTTGGAGTGCCCATTAGATTCCTTCCTTTCTCTTTCACACAAAAACGAGGCAAGCTCGTTACCGGGCCACCCTCCTCTGAAGGAGGGACATCCTGAATACTTGTGCCATGATAGTGTTCAGGTTGCCAAAAAACAGCAGTGTTAGATGCAGAGCGAATGCGGATACCATGGTCACAATTGTAAAAATGACCTCCCAGTTCTTTGTTGATGGATGCGTGGAAAGTAGTCCAAGCAATGGACCATTTGTGGGGTTGAGATTCATCGTGAACAGCTCTATAAAGAGGCAGTTGTGAGCAAGACTCAGAAAACAGGGATAGCGGAAATAGTTACCAAGCGTAATTGTGGGCAAAAACACCAGAAGGAGGAGCCATGCGAGCATTGCGGAACATGATAGGAACGGTGTACATGTTTTCGGGACCACCAGCATGGACATTCGCATCCATACCATAGATGTTAGTGGTGGATAGAAAGTTTTCGATATCGGAGAGAACCTCCTCGGGACCCAAGGCACAGATCATGTTCCAGAAAAGGGCGAACACAGAGGCAGCCTCATAACAAAGGGAATGCTTCTCATCCTCAGATTTGGAAGACAAGAAGTTACGAACAAAATCAAAAGCAGGTTTGGATCTGGAACCTGCAGACCAGCCACATATGACGATGCACCCAGCATCCTCCTTCTAGAGCAAAAAGTATGAGGCAGAGTGAAAGATAGACCAAGCTATAGAATATACCCTGACATTGTGCTGGCAAGCCACATTGCGGAGGACAATGTCATTAACCCAGTTCACAATTTCGACAAGGGAACAGAAATCGCAGATAGCCATCATAACAGGGGTACCATCCTCTTTATCAACAAACCGAGCACTTTCGTTTGGGTCCAAATCATGCTGAAGAAGGGATGATGCAACGCGCATCATGGGTTTCCGACCAATGCGGACATCAGATTGCTTGGCACTTCGGAGATGATCATACCAGACAGCCCATATAGGTTCATGGTCAACCATCTTGGCGCGATTTCGGTGGTTGCGGAATACAGCAGCTTCGATAAGAGCAGCGTGAGTAAGAGGATAGTCACACTTGAACCTATGGAACCAAGATTTGAAATTAGAGAGAGAGGTGCAGGTGCGCAGGTTGGGGAATGAGTGGGTGAGGAACTGAACAACGTGTGAAGAAGACGGAGTTTTGAGGTCAAGGTCAGGGTCCATAAGCTCAGAGCGCCATGCCGAATTGCACTCAAAATGAGTAGCCAGAACTTTGAAATGGTGAAGGTGAGACATAGAAGAAAAGAAAGAAAGAATGCACCAAATAAACCAAAAATGGACCCACCGGATGGTTTGCATCAGATCACCAAGAATATAAGTCCCCGATGGAGGGCAGATAACAGATATTGCACAGGAGATGGCCATACGGGGCGAAACCGGCAGGTACAATGTGGCTAGGCCAGGGTTCGCAAATAAAAGGGGAGAGCAAACAGGCTACTAACACTGACTGCCCGCTTGTAAGTAGCCTCACAACTTACCTCGTATTGAGGGTGGTGAATGAGGAGAGTGCCCAGGATTTGGGAAGTGCGCACCTCTCACGCAAATGCATCCCACCTCAGAACTTACCTCGTATTGAGGGTGACAGATGAGGAGGAAAGTGCTCAAGAGGGGCGGCAATTCCCAGCCCAACATGGGCACCAGTGGATGCAGCAAGCCAGGTGGCAAAATAAACACCATGCAAACACAAGGAAAGTAGTGGCCAGGAGTGCAAAAGTTATTGAATTCCGCAGAGTAAATAGATGCAGTATGTAGCAGGGTAAACATGGGGTAGATACAGAGATAAGTAAAGCACCAGCGCTTGGAAACAAAAAGTGGGCCGACCATGCGAGAACAGTATGAAGGATGCAGGTGATGGGATAGCAAAATATGCTGAAAATGGTGTTTATGGTGGTAGAAGATAACACAGAGGTTGTGTACCGCAGGCAGCAAAGGAGAATGCGGACGAAGTTGGAAAAGATATTGGCGATGAGAGATAGGCTGGTGAGCGGTCAAGTACTTTGTTGTGGTGCCAAAGACCGAGCAATATACCTGTCGTTCCCATCTTCAGCTGCAGCCCCAGCGCGCATGGACAAGAAGAGGAACGCACCTCTCTCCCCTTCGAACCCCGTCCCAAAATCAGACTGTTCTCTCCAACCCACCTCCCCCTTGGTCAGCTCCATTCCCATCCTCGAATACCCCAGAAGATGGCCATCCTGATTTGGTCGTTGTTTACAAGACTTTTGTTGACGAGCTGTGCCAAAGGCTTTTGCAGAAGAATGCCAGAGAAGTAGGACGAGAGGGGGATGTAATGCAACCAAGAATTCACGGCAAGATGTAGGGCGCAGACAATGTTGGAGGTGGGGGCGCCGTAGGTAATGCAGAGTGACAAAAAGGTGATGAGTGGTGCAAAGCGTGACAGTCCAAGTATGGGGGAAAAAAATCACTGAAAGAGGAAGGTCAAAAATATAGAAGGAAGGTGAGGTAATGAATTCCCACATTGGAACCCACCATAAGATGAATCCTTCATTACATTTCGGACTCGTAACAGGTGTCACCAGGTGTCACACTCAAGAAAACCTCAGGTGGCAGAGCAATAAAGGAAGTAAGCAAAGTTCTGGGCTAAACCAGGTAGAATAGACAAGATCAAAGCTAAGGAAATACAGCAAGTAACTACAGCTTATATACAAGTAAATAACCCTCCGCCCTAGTAATGTCCGACACTCTGGGTTAGTGGTAAGCATGAGTAAAACATGTGTGAAACAGATAAAACCTAAGTAAAGCAATGATCAACATGCTGCATGTGTGTTGTAAGACTGCTATATTTAATTGCCAAACCTTTAGGTAAGGCTTCTTACTAAAAATTTTCCGTTCATCTTGTAGGGGGGAAGTTGAGCTTGGCCATCTCCTACGGTCATGTGCTAGTAACAATTACATCATTATTACTTTGTGTTGGTGGCAAGATTAACATCATTCAAGGTATTGCTGCTGAATCTGCATCTGTATGGAGAATTCAAGTGATAGAGGCCCAGTTTTGTAAACAAAAAAATTGTGACTAAACTGAGTTTGTCAAATGGTGTTTTAGGCACATTGGTTCCCATAACCTATAAAATACTTATGAAATACTCATGAAAATAAATATTATGCAGTGTCAGACACAAGGGCAAAGATCCAGTCCATTGAAATTGTGTCATCTTGCAACCAATCACTCAAAGCTTTGAATTTTGTTTGCCAAACTCTGGAAACTTTTATTCAGCAATTCAAAAGCCATCTCCTGTCTTTGCCCTTACTTCACATGATGCCTAAGGCCATTCAATGAATGTAGCTTGCATAAACTTTAACAGTTTCAACATAAGGTCCAATAAGAATACCCTTGGTATGTCATACGTGAATGGTCATCCTTCGGATGTAGTCCGAGTCTGGTATAATCCTGCTTGACAAACAGGTAGACTGCTATCCGAAGGTAGTATCGGGGATGGGTAAACTAACCAACTTGTGGTAGTATGGGTATATGGTCCCTTCAACTTATTAGACTGATTCAGTATTGACTTTGACTGTCAATCTGGGTCTCAATTACAGTCCTCTCGATACAAATCTATATGTGAAAATGTCACAATTCACAGCATAGACGTCTAGCCAAAATTTAGGCGTGTCACTGTTAGAGCATCTCGGACCGTTTTCTAGATGTTTAGAATCAGTCTTGAACGAGTATGAATATACACATGACGCACACGATGATTGAGCCAGTTCTTCTTTGAATCTGAATCCTTTCCTTCGAGACCCATATGTTGCCGAATTTCTGCAATGCTTGTATTTTTAAGATTTGAAGGTCGAGGAATTGACCGCTCTGGTACATTCTCGTGGCTCTCACTTGAATTCTTCATTTGGGCAACATGCTTGAGCTCAGCATTCCTAGCTCGTAGTTGATTAACCTCAGCTGATGATGGTGAGCAGAGTTCGAGGGTTTAAGTACAATGTCTCTACCTTTGAGTTGTTGTAACTGAATAGGACAGTTTTCCTTTTCTCCTTCGCAAGGGGCATCTTGAGCATCCGTGTACCGGTGACCAGTAGAATGGCCACCATGATGAGCATTGTCAGTATCAGTATAAGGATGATTAGACATGATGAGAATGAGAGGAGTATGAGTTCCAATCGACGTTCATGGTGGTTATAAGCAGAGCTACGATATGATGACATCAACAACATCAGTGAACTCAGCTATCATGTACACGCCACTTTTATTCAACGGCCACCTCCCAACATGGTATAGCTCATGTTTAGTGCTCTTAGTCTGCCCTAGTTGTTATGGAGCAGTGGAGAGGATGATATGTATCAATGATATCATTCTTATATTCGACAAACATTTCTACCAATAAGTAATACAATATCAGTACAATGTTCAAAGTCCAAGAATCTTCCCATTCATGCCCTCAGACAAAGCCATTTGTGACCACTGTGGCCGCCATTTAACGTGCCGCACTATCTTGAAACATCTTGAACAGCAAGGACCTCTTACTGCACAAAAAGCCCTTTTTCATTCACTTAATGTGGATGGTCCTCTCCGTAGTGGCATATCAAAACATCCAGTGCGCCCTAGGAAGCATTATCGAAGAAACCGATACCCACACATACCAACACCTCCACCCTGTCCAGATGAAGATGCGGGAATGCACCCAATCTTCACCTCCTCTGAAATATCAACTCCCAGCAATACCGAGGAGCCTGACGACCACATTCTTAGACTAGGAACACACGGCCTTGAAGACAATGAAGATTTCGAGCAGGAGTATCTAGATAAAGGGGAGCAGTCTGGTTCCGATGACAAGGAGTTTGTAGCAGCATATTTGCTTCAAGGGTTAAGTGCACTAGATGCACTTGGAGAAGAATTTGACAAAGTTGTATCCCGGCTCAGTGTGTTTTCCTTCTATGTTCTTTTCTACATATGTACTTACTTGTTCAAGACCCAGCCTCTTGCTTGTCTGAGGATGACATGTACGATATCCGTGCATTCAATCTCAAGCTGGACACTGTTAAGATCATGTACACCGTGAAACCGTGCCAGGGCCACAAGGTGTCTAAGTGCGGAAGACGAGTGGGACAGTAGTGAAGTTATTAACAACACCGCCGTTACACCGTTAGTCCCCGGAGGTCGGAAGTATAGAAGGGAGGAGCTGAGAAGCAGCCAAGTGACGCTGGTGACGAGGAGTGAACCAAAGAACATTTTAAGTCCTAAGGTTGAGTAGAACGTACTTCAAGGCGTTGAGCCTGAAGACTGAGAGAGGAACTAAGTTGGGAAGGGAGATCTAAGTTGATAATTAAACTGAGGAACTACAGTAGCGTACAGGCAGTATTTATATCTATGGAACGGTGCAGCGGTGCGGAGCGCCAGACTAACTACTAGAAGCTATACGGGTAGTACCTGCAGGGTAGAGTAAAAGACAATAAGGAGAGACTAGAACAAAAGGGTATGTGTAGCGAGAAAGAACAATAAGAAGAGATTACAATAAAGGGCAGATCTTTGGGATACCGAGCGGCGGAATGGAGGCCCGAGGCATGGACTTGACAGTATCCCCCTCTTAGGCTTGAGCCCTCGAAAGCCGTTAGTATCGGAAATACTATTAGTCACCAGAGAAAATTTTTTTATATCCCGTTAGCATCGGCATTTATCCCTTTAGTCATCAGGAAAATTTCGTTGGTTCACCGTAAACCAAGTACAATTCGCTGGACAATTTTCGCTGGTCCGTGCGCAGTTTTGCCATATAAAAGGCCCAGAGTTTTGCCAATAAGGCCCAAGTTCCCAAAACTCCTAAGTCCACAATGTCCGCCAGTCGCACTACCACTACCACCATTCCTTCTACCGCCGGCTCTTCGAGGTCGCGCCCCTTACCACCGCCACCACCGCCACCTTCCGACTCCGCCGCTCACGAGGAGGAAGACCTTGAAGATGAAGACAAGGACGACATTATTAGGAAGGCGCAGGCACGAGTGGAGAGGGTGAGAGCAAGGAAGGCGGCGGAGGCCGCAAGGAAAAAGGCTGAGGAAGAGGCTGCAAGGGCGGCAGCAGAGAAAAAGAGAAAGGCGCAAGAGGCGCAGGAGCAGGCCAAACGGGCTCGACAACAAGAGGAGGAGGTTGTTGGCCGCTGCGGCGATCGCTAGGAGTCAACGGGGGAACCTCTCCCAGTGAGGTGTCGGTTTCTCCGCGGAGGCCTGTGGTAGAGATTCCGAGGACGAAGAGTAAGGGAAAGGGAAAAGCAAGGGCAGAGGTAAGTAACTCTTTATTATTATTCCGCTAGTACTGACTTGGAAAATGCCTTAGCCGGTCGGCGGGGACCCGGATGATGGTGATGACGGCGACAACGACAAGGAGCCTTGCGAACGATGCAGGGTAAAGAAGATCTCTTGCCAGATGCAGGCTGGTCAGAGAAGCTCAGTAATATGTAAACCCTGTCACGACGCCAAGGTCCGGTGCTCGTACTCCGGACGGCCATCGACGGTGAAACGAGAAGGAGGATCAAATCCGACTGGCGAGCGCCTGGCGGTCCTTGAGAGCCAGGTGGCTCAGCTACTCGCCGATAACTGGCAACTTCGAGATGGTCAGGTGAAGGCCAATACTTACCATCGACACTTCAACAGGAAGTTGGATTGGTTGATCACCGATGCAGCGAGGAGGAGGAGGTCACCCCCGGAGATGCCGGAAGCTGGGCCGTCGGGCTTATCAAGGAAAAGGCGAAGGGTTGTGGATAGCGATGAGGAGGAAGCAAGAGAAGTGGAGCAGGATGGAGAGGGAGAAGAGGAGGAAACGGCGCCGACGGAGAAAGGGAAGGAGAGGGCAGAGTAGAGTAGCATCGGACATCGGACATCGGCCCTCCGGCCTTTTCTTGTAATCTTCTTGTAGTCTCCTGCCCCCTCTACATATTTTTATTTTGCTCTTTGTATATAAAAATGTTAACGCGATTTTGAAATCGGAAAGCGAATGGGCCGCGAAGCGGCATAAGAAGTAATTAGTTTAGAAGTATAAGTAGTTTAAGTGTAAATGAAACATAAGTGAACAGTGAATTGAAGAATAGAATAAACAATTAAGAGGAGGAGATAAACACTCAATTTACTATCATCGTGTTTACCCTCTAACGCTCAAAGTAAACTTCGGCGGAGCACGGCAGAAAAGGAATGAGGAATGAAAAGGAATAGAATGATTTTTTGTGATCAAGGTCCAGGTTTCTGAGGATATTGAGCGTGGAAAGCGGGTACCAGTTCATCAGCATGTAACTCATCAGCAGCAACCCAGGAAAATTCATCGTCGGTACCTTCGTAACCGGCCCACCGAATGTAATAACGTAGAGGACAACGTTTATACCTTCTGTCCAGCTTGGAGTCCAGAATTTTGGCAATGTTGTACTCCTCTTCACCATCAACTTCAATTGGCGGTGGAGGAGATTGAGTACGATTCGGGAATGGATTTGGCGTAACCAGCTCCAGCTGTGAGACGTGGAAGACCGGGTGAATTCGGCGAAGATAATCCGGGAGCTTGAGCTCATAAGACAAAGTACCAGGTCGACTGATGACCTTGAAAGGACCAAGATATTTTTCAGAGAATTTTTCAGTAGGACGAGTAGATCGAATGTGCTTAGCAAGAACAAAAACTTCGGAGCCGATCGGAAACTCCGGATGCGAGATTCTTTTCCTGTCAGCTTGTTTCTTGTAACGAGATTGAGCTAGCAGGATTTCCTCTCGAAGGAAAGCGTAGAGTTCATCGAAGTGGACGACAAAGTCTCTGGCTAGATCAGACTTCATGTCGACCTCGGGCCGAATGGTGATATTTGGATGGTATCCTTTGTTAGCAAAGAACAGAGTAATACCTGTGGAAGCATTAGGAGCGTTGTTATAGGCGAACTCGGTGATCGGGAGTAAAGGCGACCAGTCATCTTGTTGGTAGGAGCAATAGATCCTGATGTACTGCTCGAGAGTCTGATTTACACGCTCGGTCTGCCCATCGGCTTCCGGATGATATCCAGAGGTATAATGAAGTTCCATGGAGAGTGCTTTGCCGAGGGCCCGGAAAAACGCCGAAACAAATTCGGAACCACGATCGGAAGTAACATGATTAGGAACACCATGCTTAGAGAAGACATGAATAACAAAAAGCTCAGCTAGTTGTTCGGAAGTAATGGTGTCGTAAGTTGGAATAAATATAGCTTGCTTGGAAGATCGATCCACAACGACTGGGATAGCTGTGTAGCCATTTGACATTGGCAGTTGCTCAATGAAGTCCATAGAGATGGAATCCCATGGTCGGACCGGAACCGGCAAAGGTTTCAACAAGCCGTAAGGCCGATGACGGCGGGGCTTGTTGCGACCACAAGTAGTGCAGAATGTAACGTAGTCACAAACGAAGTCTCTGACCTTGGGCCAGGTGTATTGACGACGTACAGCTTCTAGAGTGCGGTTCTGGCCAAAATGGCCGGAGAGTGGGTGATCGTGAAAGTAGCGGAGAACTTGAAGGCGAAGGTCGCCATGATTCGGAACATAAATACGGTCATCAAGGCGTAATAACCCATCACTACCTAAGCCCCAACGTTCATTGGAAGGATCTTTGGCAAGTTCCAAACCAACGACGGAGCTCGGGTCCTTTGGAAGAGCGAGAATGATAGCTTGATGCAATGCCTCGATATCCATGACAATAGAGGCTCGGAGCATCGGTCCTTCTAAGAAGGTAGCTCGAAGAGAAGTAGTGACTTGCTCATTAGTGAAGATAGGTCTGAAGTTGTGAGGGTTGACTTGCGTGTAGCCAATATCCCCCTCTTTGGGATAGACGTCCCAGCATCTAGTTATCGAATCTGGTTTTTCGCCAAGCTTCCCCGGTCAGAAGCGAATTACCATGTTGAATTGGTGGAGATACTCTGACCAACGGACCTGTCGACGGGTGAGAATCTTGGTAGTAGAAAAATACTCAAGATTTTTGTGATCGGTGACAACGTCCACCGGATCGCCGGAACCTTCCAGATAATGGCGCCAAGCTTTGAAAGCTTTGAAGATGGCAAGGAGCTCTTTGTCGTGAGTGTCGTAGTTGAGCTCTGCAGCTTGTAGAGTTCTGGAAAGGAACGCTAAAGGATGAATTTCACCGTCAACAGTCTGGATGGAGAGAATCGCCGCAATGGCGTAATCGGAAGCGTCGGTTTCCACGATAATAGGACGATTGGGTTCCCAGTGAGCGAGAATATGTCATGCCTCGCCCCGAATTCCATAGCCCATAAGCTCCTTAACATAGTTCCCAACCTCCTCAGTCCCCTTACCTCCTCAGCCCACTTCCCTGAACCCCTGAGAACACTCCCAACGCCCCGCAGACCTCCTTACTGCTAAGACAACCTCCACGATCCTTAGTTCCCCTCAATGCAACCAAACCACTCCATGACAGGGTCCTGGAACCCCGCACATGCGCCCATCATTCCGTCCTCATGTCTGTCCTCATGTACTTAGAAACCCCATTAAGTGCCCGTTTCATACTATGTCTCTTTGTTAACTTCCCTATACGTATTTAAGCAGTCCAGTAGCGTCCAGAAGCCCAGCTTGGTATATTTTGAACACACACCCTTTTGCATAGGTCCAGTCCCTGTCCCTTTGTACCTGCTAACCATATGGATTTCTCTTTACTCTCTGTTTCTCTACCTCTGTTTCTCTTTACTCTCGTCTACTGTCTCTCTGATCGTCTATACGATCAAATATACGCTTTTACTTCAAGTCTAAGCCATCCGAGTGAGTCTCCGAGCTCCCTCGAACATTACTAAAGCTCCCCAACGCCTAAACGCTTTGGTGAGCTACCCTTCCCCAAACCTCCCAGAGCTCCCTAGCTACTTCGTAAGCTTCGGGACCTCTATCTAAGTAACGTCGAAGCTACCCCTCACATCGAACTACGTATCGCTTCTCCGTTACCACCTCCCACACTCGAGGACGCCCATCCTCAAGCCCAGTTCCCAGGGACCTACCCTCCCTGGCATATACCTTCTCGGGAGCTTACACTCTCGAGACCCATTCACATCTACGACCTACTCGATCCTATATTGACGTTCTAGCGAGTACAACTCCTACTACGCAATATTGTATGGTCCC